AAACCATGATTTGAACACTTTTGAAGCAAACTCTTGTAACGATCCCAACACTCATACTAGATTCGTCCCAACACCTTAGCTGAGTGTTCATGTTCTGTGGGTTATATCTCAATAAGAAGCTCTTGCAAAGATCGGCCCATGACTCCATCGAACCGGATGGAACACCACTCAACCAAGCCCTTGCTCAATCACGCAAAAAATATGGAAACAACTTTAATTTTAGCACATCCTCGTGCACTCCTTCTTGGCGAAAAGTGTAATACCCCAAATATAAGGTCGGTGACCATAGTGAAAGGATTAAAAATTATGGTGGGTTAATTTGAATAAATTGAAAAGTTTAGGGAAATAATTTAGGAAATTGTGTTTGAGACTTATTAGAAAGTATGAAAGAATGGAGGGGTATTATGGTTCTTTAAAGGAAAATGAATTTATTATTCATTTTATTAATGGTTAAATAAAGAAAAAGATTATAAGTCTGGGTATAGTTCTCTACTCTTCATCTTCCTCCCATCGTCTCGTGCCCCTCATAGCCAAGATCGTAATCAAGCTCCTGAATCAAGCAAGAAAAGGGTAAGGATAAAGTTTTCGAATAATCAGACATCAATAAGTCATAATAGTGAGGCTTACCAGGTGAGTGCATTTTTATGTACTTATATGTTGTGATAGTCATAGATGCATGTTATGTAATGTATATGTTGCAATTTCCGTATTGGCACTATGTTTGTAACCTCACGATATTCATAATAAGTTTATGAATTTTCGTGTTGACACTATTTGTGCAACCTCACGAAATTCATAATAAGTTTATGAATTTTCGTATTGGCACTATGTGTGCAACTTCACGAAATTCATAATGAGTTTATGAATTTTCGTATTGGCACTAGGTGTACAACCTCACGAAATTCATAATGAGTTTATGAATTTTCGTATTGGCATTATGTGTGCAACCTCACAAAATTCATAATGAGTTTATGAATTTCCGTATTGGCACTATGTGTGCAACCTCACGAAATTCATAATGAGTTTATGAATTTCCGTATTGGCACTGTGTGTGCAATCCCACGAAATTCATAATGAGTTTATGAATTTCCGTATTTGCACTATGTGTGCAACCCAATGTAATTCATAATAAATTTGTGAATTACCGTATCGACACTATGTGTGCAAAACCATGGAATTTATAATGAGTTATAATATCCAATTCATAGTTTGATAGTTATGATATACTAATGTTTTAAAAATTCACCTCATTGTTATTATGTCTCACTAAGTGATTATTTAGCGTGTGTTGATTTCATGCGTAGGTATTAGTACGAGCAGAGTAAGGATTGCATCTGACATCACAAATCAAGGGTCGCCTTATCAATAACTGTACGAACACTATGTCTACTTTTGATGTTGTTCGCTGGCATGTATAGTCTTATGAAAATGCTCTAAAAAATATTTGACTTATGATGATGTAAAATTTAGTATGTTCGAACTTTAAGATTTGTTTACATGCTATAAGTTAATGAACATTTTATTATTATTAAAATAAAATGTTTTATGATTAGAAACAAAATTTTACTGGTTTTTCAAAAGAAGAAAGTTTTAAAAGTTATGTGACATATGTGACTCGTGTACGGAAACATATACGATAATTGGGTGCTACAAATGTGCTCTTCAAGTTATGAGTTAAAAACATATTTTAACTACTATCTTGAGAGGAAGTGTTGAAGAGCTAAATAATTAGTTAATTATTGTTAATTAATTAATTTAATAAAACAATGAAAATGGCACATTACCATCAATCCTTTCCCATGTATAGGAAATATCATCATTGCTCCCAACAATTCTTTTCAACCTTAGAAATCTGAGCTTCTAAGATATTCCCTCTCTTCCATTTTTCTTTTGCTTTCAATTTCTTCTTCATCGTCGTCATGAATTCATCATCTCCAGTTATAAACCTCATTTTCTTCTCTACAAACCTCATTTCCCCCCCAATGGATGATCCATCTTCAACAAGCTCCGTTAATGGATTCTACACTTTCCTCACTTGTGGCTTAGAAGATCTTTAACGAGTTTATCTCTCTAATAACTTCATGTCAATCCAATTCCTTCAAAGGGTCCCTTTCCCTTCTCAGATCTTTCCATTTTCAGCTACTTGTTCAAAAACTTCATCTCCCCGTTGGCGATAAGTGGTTTGATGAATACATGGATGAAAGTTCAAAGCTTTGGGAAGCTTGTCATGTTCTTAACTCAGGGATTTTCGGGATGGAAACTTATTACTCTTCTAGTTTCAACATAATTTCTTCTCTTGATCAAAGATATAATCCCCAACTTTCCAGACAGGTTAACTACTTGAAATTTTTAAAGCTTTTTCCTTTTTTGTTTATAATTTCATTGAAGTTCATGGTGTGGCAACATGTGATCAAGGCAATTTCAAGGTACCGGAGAGAAGCTATGGGATTGGAGGAAAAAAAATGGCGTTCATGGAAATGAGAATCCAACCACTTTGGTTAAAGTTGAAGGAGAAAGTTTCGATGAAATCGAAGCAAGATGGGTTCAAGGGTTTAGAGGAATTCTATACTCAATAAGGAATGTGAGCTCATTGTTTTTGATGATGTTGCTCTACAGGGCAGTCCATTGTTGCCAAGAGTCGAGCTTTTTATCGATGGTGAGGTTGCAATAGAGGGTGGCGGAGGAGATGAAGAGGAAAGGTGGTGGTGGTGGGATATTGATGTATGAGTTTAGAAGATCAAAGATGGCAATAGAGGAGGTCAGAGGGGAGCTGGAGAGGAAAATTAGTGGTGGTGGTGGTGGTGGTGACGAGTGGAGTGGGAAACATTGAGGGATAAAATGGAGAACTTGAAAAGGTGTTTTGGTGTATTGAGATTTGGGGTTGATAATATTGAAGCCCAACTTGATGATTTCTTTGATGAAATTGTTCAAGGGAGGAAGATGCTTTTGGACTTTTGTAATAACACATAGACGAGAGAATAATATATTAAAATTAAAATTCCTTTGTAGAGGGAATTGTTGAAGGGTTGTATCTTTTAACCCTTCCTCTACCTTCTTCTAATATATACATTTTTTTATTTTATTGGCATGCATTGATTGTTTCTACCATGGAGGTTGTAGTTTTTTTTCTCTCTTCATTCATATAACATAGATAGGAGCAAAACAGAGTACTTTGGCCTTCAAAAATCAGTTTAAGACCAAAATGAACTATAGGAGTAATTTGGGTAAAGTACACAAATGTTCCCCCAAGAGCTTTGTTTTATCGAGTCTCTCAGCTATTTAAAGTTATAAAATGATCTCTCAATTATAAGGCATTGTTTTGTTGAGTCTTTCAATTATTAAAAGTTATAAATTAGTCACATGATTATTCATATATTCCAAACTCGTACTTTTTCATTAAAAAAAATCGGCAACCATCTGAATTGGATGTTAACCTATTCATCGGGGATATTTAAAAATTGAGCTCAGAATTGTTTGAGTTGTATTTTATAGATCTAATCTCTGTTTACATTATGTCAATGAGCTAGTGCTTGAAACATTATACCGTCAAGCTAGTGCTTGAAAGCAACTACGATGCCAGTAGACACCATTAAAATAATGATTTTATCACATCTCAGTCAGCAGGTTAACATCCAGCTCAAACAATTATCAGTTTTTTTAATCAGAAAGGACAAGTTTAGAACATATGAATAGTTGAATGACCATTTTGTAACTTTTAATGGTCAAGAGACTCAACAAAGCAACATCTTAGAGTCGATAGATCATTTTATAATTTTTAATAGTATGAAGACTCAACAAAGCATCTCTCTCTGATTGAGGGACAATTTTATAACTTTTAATAGTTTGGAAACTCAACAAAGCATCCCCTATAATTGGGGGGCCATTTGTGTTATTTACCTAAGTAATTTTTCATGCAAAACCTCCTATTATGTTTTTGTGTACCCTACATTCTACAAGAGAAAAAAACGTTAGGGTTTTTTTACCTTTTTTTCGTAGTTTATGATAGTTACAATTTAATAATGTTTCTAATTAATAAAATTCAAATTTAAGATTTGACTTAATATATATGAATCCCTGACGAATTGACCTAGTTGGCATGGTTGAATTGGATTAAGAGTAAATATATTTGGTTACTGAATTATAAGATAACATATTCTTTATGTATTTTATATTAGGAAAAGGAATGTAAGAGAACGGCTGGAGTAGGTGTTGAAGTAAATGAGAAAATGAAATATTGTAGAGGTAAAAAGGACAGTTGTGTCGGTTTAGGCTATGATAGTCCCCCATATCTGGAACTGCTATGATGTCTGGTAGTTTCAAATAAACATTTGAAAGCAATCCACTTTTCATCATTAAAAAGCTGCTGATTGTCCCCTTCTCAATCCTCTTGCTTTTTTGTTTTAGTTTTTGTTCTGTTGTCAATTTGTTTGTTTATGGGGGAATTTTAAAACTAAAAAATGGGATACTTTCTCAACACACATGTTCAACTGTCTCGTGCTTTTCGTCCCTTCCAAGGGTGTTTCCCTGAATAAAAACTGCTCACACACACCAAGATTCAAGGCATGAAATAATAACGGAACCTACAAATCAATACATGGCAGACATAAAATCAAAGCAGTGACTGATTCAAATGAAAAACAAACCAAAATCATTCTTATCTTTTGTTAAACTGAGTTCAACATCACGCCGAGCCAGCCACCCAAATCATGTCTTCTTCATTTAACTTTATTTCTACTTTCCCTTTAAAACTAAAGCTTTTCAGCTTTTGTTTCCTCTTCACTATAATTAGACATTAACAAAAATAATTAAAAAAGACATGATTCTTCTTCCAACAGCAGCAACACACAAACTTGGTATTTTAAATAATACATTTGTCACTCAACAACTGTTTAATACTTTTCTAAACAGTAAAAATGCCAAATATGGAAACAAGTCTGACTGAACTTCTGTTGCATATGAATATTATTACAACCTTTTAAAGGAGAAGACTCTTTTATAACTTTTTACAGAATGTTTTTTTTTTTGTAAGCATATGCAGAACTGTTTGACCTGGTTTATTTATTTTACACACAAGTTCAATGGGGGGACACATGGATGTGTAAAAATAAATTTTGATTACCATAAAAGGTGAGGAAATGCCATCTTATAAATCTTCAAGAATCATATCCAGGCATTGCAAACTGGGCGGCAAATGTCTCAACACGAATACGGAGATCGAAAACATCTTTATTATTGTGAAGGCCCTTAAGAAACTCTTTCTGCGATTTTCCATGATCCCTCTGCACTGAACTAGTGATCTCAGCTGCTGTGTAGAGGAAGTCGGCAATTGTCTCAAAATCAGACTCTAAACAACCTCTTGATGTCATAGCAGGTGTACCTGAGAGAAAATTAGGAAATTAAGGGTTTTGGTGACAATAAAATAAAAGAATCTAGTCAGTGGACCACTGTAAATGAACTAAATTCATGGGGCTAAATAAAAGTATAAAACGTCTATATCTAATACATAGGCATCAACACGAATTCATGATCATATGAGTCCAAAAAAATGTCAATCCCCAATAAAACCATTTTAGTTTGCAGACAAGAAGCAAGAGACATAAGCACAATGTGTGTTCTTTTAAGTTTTAACACCTATGAATATTCAAACCACCTTAGTAGTTATGATACCACTCTAACTTCATGAATTACTCAATTCTAAATATGTTATCACAGTATATAGAACATGTTAGTGCATTTAAAAAAAACTCGTTAATGAAAGTCCAGCACATTTGTTACCAATTGGTTCATTTCACTGATATCATGTAAAAGAAAATGATGTCAGACCACAAAAATGTGCATTACCTAACAGGAAATAAGGCAGAATGTATTGCGACCTATGAAGCTGTCAAAAAGAAAGAAAAAAAATTCTTCAACACAAAATACAAGAATACTTCTTACCAATTCTCACTCCTCCAGGAGAAATAGCACCATTGTCACCAAATATAGCAGTTTTATTCAAAGTGATGTGGCACATCTCACAAACTTTCTCATAGCATTTGCCTGGGAAACAGAATACATAAGTTGTTATTTTTAGAAAGTGTAAGCAACTAAGCATGCATGTGTTAATGTCTGGGAATGCATTATGCCCCGTGAAAATTGAACATATAGGTTTATTATTATTATTATTATTATTATTATTATTATTATTATTATTATTATTATTATTATAAATCATACAAATTAATCAAATAGGTTAAAACTTCATTTTCCTAAGGAAATGTATGGAACAGATATGAAACAATAGTCGTATCTAGTCAAGTGGGCTGGTGAGACGTAGACAAAAGAATTTCTAGCAAATATGGTCAACAACAAGCAATTGGCTTTTTTTTTCTATTTCTCTTGCAATTGTCATGAAAACCGACAGTCTGTAAACTGAAATGTCGCCTTCTATTTTCACTACTCAGATTCTTTAATAATAGTTAATTATTGGCTTTCTAGATTTTTTCTCCAGAAGAATTAACTTACTGCACTCTTTAAATGGAGAACACAGACACATTTTGTTATATGCTTTCCCCTTCTAAAATATAGCCATGAAAAATGGAAAAAAAGAAGCCTAGAATAAGAATGGTAATGAACTACAGTTTTGTCTTTACAAGGGGTTTTTGATAAATTTCAGAATCGATGTCATATTTTGCATCAAGGGAAGGAGCCAGCCCAGTGAAAATGGAAATAAGAAAGCCGTTAAGAAGACTTGGATCACAATTTAGTCTCAAAGTGAAAATATGCAATTTTAATATAATCAAATGATATTACATGAAGGAATAACTTAATTCCAGCAAAAAGAAAATTTAATATGTTAGCATATGTTTTCTCTGCATGTTTGTGATATCGAGCAGGCAAGATAGGAGAACCTGTTAAACCCAGTGTAGTGAGATCCCACAACAACAAGTGGTTGTCAGTGCCCCCCGTAACCAACTTGCATTTTTTCCTCAGCAGAGCAGATGCCAAAGCCTGAGCATTTTTCTTCACTTGTTGCATATACGCTTTGAACTCTGGTGTAGCCACTTGCTTCAATGCTATGGCAAGACCAGCAATGTGATTATTATGAGGGCCCCCTTGTAATGATGCATAAACAGCAAAATTTATCTTTTCCTCAAAATCAAGTGGGTCAGCAGAATAACCATTACTGAGACACATGCCTTGTTTTATTGATTTTGAAACCTTCCTATAAAAGATTATACCTCCCCTTGGGCCTCTTAGACTTTTGTGAGTTGTTGAAGTAACAATATCACAGAAGTCAAATGGACTGGCACATTCCTGTAATGGACAGGGGTGAACATGCTGGTAAGGAAAGCAAAACACAAAATTGCCTTGCATGAAAAAGCAAATGCTGAAAGATTCATCAACATGAGGAGCCATTATATGTCAAAGCCATTAGATTATTTCAAGGATCAAGGCATATGGAATATATTTTAGTTTTGTTTTGGGGTATGAAGGAACAGTTAAACCAGTACCTTGGCACACAATTCAAGCAGTTCAAGCATGAAACTCACACAATTTTTCCTGTTATTTTGTACACAAATGATCCTGCCAAACTAGATTTAAGAAAATTTAAAAGGAAATACACCTTGTGGAAGATCAACAGCCTATTACTTGAATTTCACAAGTATAAGGATCAGCTAGCAAGAGCTACGTATTCAAATGAGCAGTGCTCACCTGAATGTATTCAGAGTATGGCAGGGACACTAAGTATCAAATTCATATGCTTTACCATTAAAATAACAGTCAAAATATTAATTCCACCACTACCAATCAATCTCCCAAAAATCTCTTCTTTTTCAGAAATTACTAGACTCATCCAACCAAAAGAAGAAATGAAAAAAGAAAAGTTTAATCTACATTTATATGTATATAAACTTAATGCATATGTGTTTGACGTATTAACAATTCTAATAAACTCAAAGTTGTAAAGGAAATGTAAAATATGAAAAAAAATTAGAAGATCTATTATTTATGGCTTCTAGTCAGACAGTTCATGATAATATATGATAAATCAGTCTTATCTCACACAACCTTTCAGGTAGGTTTAACCTGGGATCAACTTCACTAAGTTACAAGTGTTATTTGGGCAGGCAAGTTCAAAGGCTGACAGGATTTGTTCTTGCCAAGTCAAAAGCTTAAGCTAGGTCTCAAAAGGGTAAGTAAATCTTTCTCCCCTTTTCCCTTTCCATTCTTTATTAAATGTAAATGCAAGCATGTGTGTTTATGTTGAGATAAGCCACATAGGATTGAATGTTGTGGTGGTTTAATTGCTAGCATATTTGGTAGCCAAATAGAAACACTACTAATCACGTAATTAGTTACTAACAGCAGTGCTACTTGTAAGTTAATCTATGTAGTATTGAAGCAATTAACTCAAGTCTATTACTATCCATAGGAACAAGAAACCTCACCTCAGGGGAAAACCTTTATATTAGAATCAAAACATCAAACCAATAACTAATTTAAACAAGACAATGTTCAAACCTTAGCTGCCACTAGACCACTAATATGAGCCATATCACACATCAACACAGCTCCACATCTATCAGCAATTTGCCTGAACCTTGCATAATCCCACTCCCTAGGATACGAACTGCCACCACAAATGAGAATCTTGGGCCGAAAATCAAGCGCCTTTTCTTCAAGCTTATTATAGTCAATGAACCCTGTTTGTGGATTCACCTTGTAAGGAAAACTCTCAAAAAATATCGAAGCAGCAGATACTTTCTTCCCACTCGGCATATAACATCCATGGCTCATATGCCCTCCAGATGCCGAATCCAATCCCATGATTCGATCACCAGGCAATAAAAGTCCAGTATAAACAGCAAAATTAGCCGAAGTACATGAATAAGGCTGCACATTGACTCCCCATTTCTCGGAATCAAGATCAAAAGCTGCTAATGCACGTTCTTGACATAAGGTTTCGATTTTATCAATATAATGATTGCCCGTATAGTACCTCGCTCCAGGCATTCCTTCAGAGTACTTGTTTGTTAAATGGCTTCCCAAAGCTTCCATCACAGATCGACATACAAAGTTCTCTGAAGCAATAAGTTCAATTCCTAAGTATTGCCTTTGTCTTTCCTTGTCCATGATTTTACTCAATTCAGGATCCGCCTCTTCTAACCGTTGATTCCCCCATGACCTGACCGCGGCTCGTCTTTGGTCCAGGCTGGGATCGGGGGCAAACTGTTTACAAAGACTTAGACCAGGTATAGGATCCCTTTGTCTTTTCACACACATGGACCGCCCCCAAATCCTAATTTCTTCGTCATCTTCGATCCGATTTTTGCGTTTGCCGTTATCTAACCGACGGACACCGTCGAATTTTTCATCGATCAACTGTAACGGAACGGGGGAGACAGAGTAGCGAAAGCCGGCTTCCATTTGAAGCGGAATCGAGTCGTCCGTAACTGAGGATTTAGTAAAACCCGAAGACAGACCCGATTTAGTTTGAAACAAATCCATTGAGAATCCCAAAAAAGGGAAATTTTTGAAGTGTTTGGGGGAACTTTTTCCCGAAGAGCTTAGAACCCTAATAACTATACGCAAAAGCAATCAAATCGAAAATAACGAAGCTTTGGCGGATTCGATTTGGAAGCAAAAACAGAGTTTCCATAGAATATCTCTCCTGCTCCCCCTCTCTCTCTCTCTTTCTCTCTCTCTATATATACACACACACACAAACCCATACACGTATATATATATTTTAAAATTTTAGTGCTTTAAAGCTTGAAAATGGAAATATGTCGTGGACAGGTAAGGAGGGCGATAATTAAAATATAAAGGGATAAACCGAGTTTTAGTCCCTAAATTTAATAAAATTTATCAAATTGGTGCTTACCCTTTTTTGGATCTACATTGGTGCCTGAATTTGAATTTTGTTATCATTTTAATGATGTATTAATTTGATATTTTATGAATATCAGAGTGTATATCATAGAAAAAACTAAAAAAGAAAAGTGGCCAAGTACGTTACGTATACTAATGTGGACTAAAAGAATTAAGAGATTAAATTGAAAAAGAAATCTAAATTTTGGAATAAAATTATTTTTTCCATAAAATTTAAAAATGGCGGGTTTTACCGGTAGGGAGTGTTTGTTGAAGACGACGTGGAGGAATGAAGGTAGATGAGAATGTGATTAGGGGATGATTTGTTGACCGGGAATAGAAGGTATGGTCTACGGGTTGTACCTGTAATATTGTAGGATAACAGAATGGGATCCACGTGCCTTATGCAGAATGGTTACATTGGTTTCTTAAATTATTGAGGAAAGAATGACGGCTAGGTTCATTCAAGGTTGTTTTTGTTCGGATCTATGATACATAAAATTTATTATACGATGTTACATAAAGTTTAGATTAAGTTAATAATAAAAAAATATTTAATGAGTTAATATAAAAACATTTTTCAAAAAATTATATATAAAATATTATGAATTTAAGTTAAATATTTATGCACTAAGATATTGAATATATAAATTATATTGTCTATTTTAAATCAAGTATTTATCTTGACTCAATGGTTGATTACATATTTTGTTTTCAAGCTACCTACCGTCAAATCTCTTTAACCCCAATTTACTTTACTATTTTTCTTTCAAACAGAGGATAACCTCTTGGTTAGTTAAAAATAAATATATCAAATTAAAATAAAATAAAAACTAAATTGAAAGAATATAGATTAAATGTGTAATTATATCAAAGTCTTATATTAACGACAGTTAACTCATGGTAATCACATCTTAATTAAGTGATCATATATTATTTTTTGGGTAAACTATACTAGTGACCACCTAATTATTATCTATTTTCATTTTGACAATTATTTTTGAATTTTTGTCAATTAGATCACCCAACTATTTAAATACATTTAATCAAACAACTAACTGTTAATATTTAACGGAATAGATGACGTGAAAATTAATTAAAATAGTGTAATTATATATTTGGTCCTTACTATTGACATAACAACTAACTAAAATAGTATAATTACATATTTAATCTTCAATCTTTATTTAATGAAAGAGGTGACGTGATAATTAATAAGAGTAGTATAATTACACATTTGATTTTTAATATTGACGTGACAATTAACTAAAATAATATAATTACATATATATTCCCTAATTTTATACATTTTATAAAATTGGTCATAATTTTAATTTACTCATTTAATATTGTTCATCCAAGCAAAGATGTAAGAGAGTGACACGTGGGGTTAAAGAAAAATTCATTACTAGGAAATGGTAACGGAGGGAATCGAACCATAATCCAAAGGGCTGGGGGGAGGCTTTAAAACATCAATGCCACTAAGCCAAATCGTTCAGTTGTGACGCGGATTACACAATAACTTATATAACACTTACTGAAATTAAAATAAGGGTCCGTTTGTTTCATGGAAAACTGTTTCGGAAAATGAATTACATTTTTAGAAAACATTTTACAGTGTTTGGATGGTACATTGTAAAATGTTTTACACTGTTTGATTAATTTTTCTGAAAACAGTTTTCAGAATCTATTTTTAATAAAGAAACATACATATTCAATATGTTTTTATTCTTTACCTTAGTTTTAAAGGTTCATTTTATTTTTTATATAATTATATTTTATAAAAATCTGTATTTTTATTAGTACATCAAACTAAATTTTTAGATAATATTAATAATTTATGTTGATTGTGTTATAAATACAATATTTTAGGTTTAAAATCTTCATGATGTTTATTCATTCGTATTTTTAGAAATGAATTTCAACGTATAATTAATATTATGTAGGTTTATTTGATATAATATTAATTATTGATTAAAAATATATTATAAAAGTTTATAAATATTATGTAGGTTTAATTAGTAGTACACCACATTAAAACAATAATATTACATAACATTGTAATAATAATAATAATAATAATAGTGTCAAAATATATAATTAAAGGGTTTATCACATTAAAACAACAATAATATTCAACCGTAATAATACCAATTTTTTTTCATTATCATTATTATTATTTATTAATTACCATTATAATTAAATATCAAGTATAAAAATAAATTAAGGTTGGTTTTATTACTTTTTTGCAGTCCAATTATCACTAATTACCATTATAAAAAAATAGACATGTCTAATAAAATGCCCAATTATCACTTCTATTTCAGTACAATATATTTCATAATTAACAAAAGAAAATGATTTGTAAAGTTACATTGTAAGCAAACCATTTCATGAAATGACACACTCAAATAAAAAGAATTCACAGAAATGACAACCTACATTAACATGCATGCATATGATGCAATATAGTATTCCTATTGCATCTTTTAAGCATGGAATATTGTGAATATATATTACGTTTGTGCCAAATATATGAACCAGAGCATGAACATATCTAATAGAATCGGTAATAGCGGACAAGGCACAAATACATGAACATGTCAAAGTTATACCAACACACACTTATAAGACACTTTTAACAAGATTATGATATGAAAAAATACATGACCACAATACGAATGCACGAATTCCCAAGTCTACTATCTAAGAGGTCCATTGGAACACTGCTAAGCATTTGACATTTGAGTATAGGGGTAGATGAACCCAGAAAACCTAATCTTAACAAGATCATGTTAAATAATGCTAGTATATAAGACACCTTTAACGAGATTATGATACGAAAAAGTACATGAACATTATACGAATGCACGAATTCCGAGTCACTATCAAAGAGGTCCATTGGAACACTGCTAAGCGTTTGACATTTGATATAGGGGTAGATGAACCCAGAAAAACCTAATCTTAACAAGATCATGTTAAATAATGCTAGTATATAAGACACCTTTAACGAGATTATGATACGAAAAAGTACATGAACATTATACGAATGCACGAATTCCGAGTCTACTATCAAAGAGGTCCATTGGAACTGTAGACACTATATTTCATCCCATCATAAATAACTATATATATATGTTATATATAATTTATAAGTTACTTATATATATATTGTATATGACATTTACACATCCTTCTTTCTCTTCTCTTTACAGGCCCATATACAAATATTACAAGTGGCCCAGCAGATGGGACAAGGCCCAACAATCAAAACCCAAACAGTGATGACCCAAGACCCGTTCCAAAATCAGGGTTTCTAGAAAACCCTAGTGTGTCGCTTCTCTTGCACGCCCCATCTCATCCAGCGCCAAGCAATTCCCAACGCCGCACGTCTCGCCTCCAACAACCGAGATTCTCGACCACGAACAACAAACCCATTAGCAAGCAGTGTTTTAATAGGAATAAAACGCTAAAAATAAGAGTAGTTGAGTCCAAATCGGACTCTAAAAATAGCGAATCTAAGGTTATAAAATGATGTAATTCTCAACATTTGGAATGGAAAATTTTCATACGAAAATACGCACAAAGATTCCGAAGCAAACACAAAGTTTTCGAAGCATATTTTGCAATATTTTCTCGAAGTGAAATAAAGGTAAGGTTCATACCTTTTTAAATTTTTGGCTTGCATGTTTCGTTGTTGCCTTCGTTTTTTTTAATAAAAAAAACCCGAACGTCGATGACCAAAGGGAGAAGGTTTCAAAATTTCTAGCCTAGATCTACTCTCCTTGAGGCGTTTTTTCAAAAAAGTGTTTTGATATTTGAAGAGAGTGTGCGAAGAGGTTTTTAAAAATGCAAAAAAAAAAAATAGGTTTCTCATCGATGACCAGCGGCTGGCGCCGATCAACAGCGACGACGCAGAGTGGCTGTTTTCTGTGTTTATTGATACCCACGACCATTGTTCTTCATTTCTCAAGAACAAATGAGAGAAATCATAAACGAGGGGAGAGCTTTGTGTTTTGAGAAGGAGAGAAATGAAAAATTAAAGGAGAAAGTTGCTTAAATACTCGACCCATGGATCCCCATGGATCAACACGTAACCCAGCCCAAATGGATTCAGATCCGCGTGTTTTTGAAGCAAATACGATAAACTACGCTTTTGGTCCCTCTCTATTTTTAGAAACTCATTTCAACCCTAAATCGAATTCCCATTTTGGTTTTTTTATTCGAAATTTGTCCTCCACGTTTCATCCCTTTCATTTTAATCCCTTCATTATTATTTTTTATTTTTTATACATATTTGCTCATTTTATTTTTAATTTATTACTTATTATTTTTTTAAATTTTTTTCTATACGTTATTACCAATGTATATATATATTTTATTTTCATTTTATTATTACTATTATTATTACTCCTATTATATTTTCCTTTTATTCTACTTATTTATATTATATATTTATATTTTTTATATTTTATTATTATTATTATTATTATTATTGGTTTTGTCTATGCCTAATATTTTATATGTAAATATTTCTTATTATTTTCTTTTAGTTACTTTATCAAATATTATACATATATATCACCTTCCTTTGAAATTATCACCCCACTCCTATTGAGCCCCTTTTACTATTTAAAATTTGACTTGTGGATGAACAATTATAACATTGCAAACGGTGTAATCAAGTTATGATTTCCATGCCCTCACCATTTCCTGTTTAAAGCATGTGATGGGTATTCAAGTTCATTTTTTTTAACCAAATTGTTGTTTACAAATCCACGTTTTACTGTAATCATTTTTTATTTTTTTTGTCTTTTCGCTTTTTTCGCATGTATG